GTGTGTGTGTGTGTGTGTGTGTGTGTGTGTGTGAGGGTGTATGTGTGTGAGTGAGAGAGAGAGAGAGAGAGAGAGAGAGAGAGAGACAGAGAGAGAGATTATAAGCAGAAGCATGCACTCCTCTGCTCTGATTGTGGAGCCATTAAATCTGTGGCTAGAGGCATGACATTTTTTTAGCAAGACAAACTGTACAGCATTTAACTTCCACACTCTTTGTCTGTAAACTCTGATCTCTTTGCTACAAAAAACAACATCTGAAAGCAAACCAAAGCCTTGTTATTTACCACAAGGGTCACGACACAGGAAAAAATAAATAAAATAAAAAAAATTGAAGCCAATTTGCTGAGCCTGACGGACAAATGGCACAGAGTAGCCTCCAGTAGGGCAATCATTTGCTGCAACCAGGACCACATGATCAGAGGCATTATCCACTAGAGTCAGCAGCAGCATTACGGCCCTAAGTGGCCTTAACATGCTAGGTTAATGGTGGCTGACAAATACTGAGGGCTTTCAGCAGCAGCATAATCAGCCAGATCACCTCACACTGGATCACCGTTACACTGATAGAAAACAGGAAATCACATGTGTAGGCTGCAGGTAGAGCTAATAAGCGAGGAGGCTTGTTACACTTTATTAATAAACCCCAATGGGATCTCATTTCTAAGAGGACCTGCTCTACTTTTTTTAGTGTTAAAATCATTTGATTTTCTTATGATGCAGTTTGACATAATACACTGTGCTTTATGGTGCCATATATATGATATAGAACAGTGCAGTAGAATACAATCAGAACCCTAAAATATACTATAATAGGGTGCGATAGATGTTGCACACGATGTTGAGCTTGGATTATATATTGGGAACAATGCTCAGCCACTACCACACCAAACGTTAGCTGAATATCTGTAAAATTAGCAGAGTTTTAGCCATTGTTGAGTTTTTTTAAAGTCATTTGGAGGAGGCAGTCATCTTCAAATGGATTGTCTTAAAAGGGTAACAAGTTGTTGACATACACCCAGTCATTACTTTACCTTTTGAGCAATCCATTGTATATTTTAGTGGTACACACAAACAAACAAGCTCCCTTTAAGGACCACGTACTGACTTCTATTCACCTAACCTTGATCCTTCCTTACCCTAAACCTAACCATCACAAGTACATGCACACAGTAGGTGTGTATACGAGAAAAGGTCCTATAAAAGGTAACACACAATTGGTCCACCTTTGCTTTCGTCAGCGTGTGATAAATATGAAACAACACAACATGGGATGATACAATAAGGTATGACATACAAAACAACAATCCTACATAAAACAACAAAGTATGAAACAAATAGTACAATATAATAAGGCACGATACAGCACAATACAGTGTAGTGCATTATGATACTACAATACAAAGCAATACAATAAGGTATACCAATGTAATGAAACACAGATCAAATGTGATGCAATGACATGATGTAAAATATCTTTTCTCCTGCTCCTTTGGGAGCTGTCTTCTCCAAAACCGTCTAAAAAAAACTAAAACAAAACAAAACACACATGACCCAACTGTGAGACRCATCCTGGGATTTTTCTCTTATGAACACGAGTGCAGTGCAGGTATTTGGACTTAAATCTCCACTGGTTTGCCTCTATAGTCTGGCTCCTGGAAGGTGTACCTGACCATAAGTAGCCCCCCACCCCCCATCCCCACCACCCTCTCTGTGGGACTCACAGACAGCCTATCTGTCACTGAGGCCTATCTCTGTAGGCAGGGGCTGCTACCTCAGAAACATGAAGGATCCTCCCTAGCACAGGACAAAAAAAAAAAAAAAAACGAGGTGATGATCTCAAACCAAGGCTGAAAGGAGGGGGAGTGTGTGTGTGTGTGTGTGCGTGCGGGGGTGGGGGGTGAATGAGATAATGTGGAGAGGAGGAGAAGGAGGAGGAGGAGGAGGAGGGGAGAACGGCGATGATGACCGAACAGAACCCCAGAAACGTGGTTACTTACGTCTCTGAATTTATCCCATGATCTCCCGGTGAGCCACTTATCGTCCAAAAAATTGCCGCTGTCTGCGCGAGCGGAGACGCGTCCGAAGGCGACGGCGCACACACACAGCAAGGCGACGCTCAGCATCTGCGGACACACACACACGCATACACACACAACAACAACAACAACACAGAGAGAAGGACACACTGGGTCAGTCTGGAGAGGAGGAGAGCGCATTGATAAAACAGAGAAAGGCGCTTCAGACGCAACTAAAAGAAAAAAAAAACACAGCTGAATAGATGCTGGTTTTCACCCCCACCTTGTCGCAGCAGCGGCTCCCCCGGACTGTATGTGCTCGCTGCCGTTTTCTGTCACAAGTAATAGCAGCCTCTCCTCCCTCTCTCTTTCTCTTTCTCTCCCCTCCCTCTCTCTCCGCACCGGTTTGTCTGTGCGCAGCAGATGACGCGAGCGCGCATGGCACCGACCGTGCGCGGGCCCGCGGAACCTGGCTGCCTGCGTGTTATCAGGCCACAGCTACAGGGATCTGCACCGATTACTTTCTCTTATACCAAAGAAATTCAGTCATTCACAAAATTTAAACAATCAGTAATTAAAGGCCTAGCTCCAGAGTTTGAAGGTGGAATCATCTTGGACAGAGTTGGAGCCGCTTTGAGCCAACTTCAGACAAAACTAAATGTGGCGGGTGCTGTGTGTTAATAATTACCAACCTAAATTCAAAACACTGTTTTAGAAAAATAAGATTGATAACTCCACTTTAAAAGTACTGTAAGGCACGCAGACCCGCTTACAGATGAGGCTTGAGACAATTTCACAATTCCAGGAATTCATTTATTACATCCTGATTTTAATTTAAAAAGACTAGATTAAAACCCACTCACACATTAAAAGTCAGTTCTGGCTCAACTCAAGGAGGAGTGAAATTCAGGGTAGTGTCCTAAAAAGAAGAGAAGCACAGCAAACAAAAGAAAAATCGTGCACCAAACCAAAAGGAGTACCACCACCTGGAAAGGCCACCACCAACACCAGGAG